GCAGAGCTGTGTGCCGAGTCACTGCCGGGTTTCAGCGCTCCTGCGCCCGCCGTGTCGCGACCTCACCCTGCAGACCAGGCCCCTCCCACCCGTGTCCTCCTCACCTGTCCCTCGGCCACCTGCAGGCCTGTGGGGGGGCCGGCTTCCTGGGCTTTGCCACATTGGTCCCTGAGACGCTGCCAGCAGCCCCCCGTCCCTGCTCACCCCGGCATCCGCTGTGTGGAGACAGACACAGGAGCCATGGGACCCGAGCAGAGCCAGGCCTCCTGCGGGAGGAGGGGGCACGGGGACCACCGAGGCAGCAGGAGCCCATCCGGCCCCCTCCTCGTGGGTCAGCGCACACTCACGTGGGTCACCCAGGCCCAGGACGAGTGTGGGACCCGCCACACTGTGCCTGACCCCCCGTGGGCGAGGAGGCCCGACTGGAGCAGATGCAGAAGAGAAGGAGGGGGTGCAGCGGGATGGGGGCCTGCCTGAGGTCGCCCAGGGGCAGAAGTGAGCTCAGAACCGCACGTGGGGCACCCCGGCCTCCAGGATGCCCCAGGGAGGCCCCACCCCCGGGAGCACCTGGGGAGGGGGTCGGCTTGGGATCCTGAGTGTGACCTGGGTCTGAGGCAGGTCAGCTCGGCAGCCCCTTTGGGCCAGTCCCATCCCCCTTGCCCCGTGATTCTCCTCTGAGTCGGAGGATACCCCCGCCCATTATGCCACCTCCTTGGGGTCAGTGCAAGGACCTGGCACCTGTCCCCCAGCCCCCAGTCGGTGCCTGACAAATGCTGCTGGCAGGAATGCAGGGGACTTGAGTCGGAGCATCCTGATTGCTGAGGGCCTACTGTGTGCCAGGCAGTAGGCTGTGCCCCTTGGCCCCAGAGAGGGCAGCCCTGCTTGTCCTATCAGGGTGGTTGGGAGGTGATGTTGGCGCTGGGCCGGGAATGATGAGAGGTGCCCCCTGTGGGTAGATCTGGGAGGATGCTTTCTGGGCAGGGCACACCAGTGGGTACAAAGGTCCTGGGGTCGCCACATGCAGGGGCGGGGAGGGATGTGTTGGAGGAACAGAAAGACCTCAGAGTGGTGGAAGGAGCCATGTGAAGGAGCCCAGCATGAGGTTGGCAGGTCTTTGGGGGGGGCACACCTGCAGAGCCTCAGGGTGGCCAGCAGTGCCCCCACTTCACAGATGGGGGGCCTGGCTCCTTACAGGCAAGGCCAGGGCCAGGTAGTAAGACAGGTCGCCCAGACAGAAGGCATGAGTCTTCCAGCTCCTGGGGGTCCCCCTTGGCCCCTGGGCTCGGTTAGGGGTGGGAGGGAGACTCAGGGGCCCCCACACCAGCGGGCGGGCGGCGCAGCTGTGGGAGGCCGGGCTGCTGGCATCAGCAGGAGCCGCTCCCTCCTCCCGCCTCGTGGAACAATCATTGCACAAAATATGCAAATGGTATAATTACTGTGATTTGTTTTGCTGATATAAGTGTTTGAAATGCAGATGTCAAGTTTGGGCACTTTCTCTGCCCACCGGCTGCCAGTCGAGGAGTTGTCCCCACAGCCGAGGAGTCGTCCCTGTCGTTCCCGTCATTCCCGGGCACCCCTCCCGCCTCCCCCAAAACCTGCTGCCTCCTCTGTGGGTGGGGCGGGGGGCCCGATTGTGCATGCCATGCGCCTCAGAAAGGAGGCCTCACGTCCCCCCCGCCCCCGGCCCCTGCTGTGTGATCTGGACCAGTTACTCATCCTCCTGGAGCCTCGGTTTACCCATCTGTGTAGTGGGATCCACCAGCCTCTGCTGCTGTGGTGTGTCCGAGGCCCCAGCGCTCTCTGGCCCCGTGACAGTTCAGGGATGGGCTTGGGCCTCAGTTTCCACCTGCAGAATTCCCGCACAGGTGTGTTTCCATCTGTGAAATGGGGAGTTAAGAGTCGCTGGATGGCCTTTGGGGGCCCCGGTGCACCCCCAAACATCACAGACCAGCTGCGTGTGTGCATTTTTCCACCCTGGGCCCTCACCTTTGAGCCCGCCAGCCCATGGGGGCGTCTCTGAGGCTTTTGGGGCTCCCAGCCTGTGGGTTCAGACGAGCCTGGGCTGTGATCCAGTGAATGGTGGTCACCATCCTCCCCATTCTACAGAGGGGAAACTGAGGCACGGCATTCCACGGCCGGTCGAGGTCACACCAGTGAACGTGTTGCCCGACTGCCAGTTCCTACCTGGACCTCCCCGCCCCCCCGCTCCGAGGGCAGAGCAGGACGGCTGCCTCCTCTCCCGCCGGCTCCTGCCAGTCCCACCTCAAGCTGCTCTGGCTGAACCTCTGCAAATCCGCAGGCACCGTACAGCCCCCACGCCGGGCCTTGTTCAGATCACCAGCTTTGCCGGAGCCCCGCCCACCACAGACCCGTGAATCCGTCATCCACGTGGCAGCTCAGACCTGTGGATGCCCAGTAACGATGCAGGTGCCGTCCTAAGGCCGTGTGATCACCTTGAGTCCTGGAAGGAGGCCGGCCCCGGGGAGGCCTCCCCAGGCCGTGCAGGTGGCGGGAGCTGGTGGCCACACCAGGGGCGCACTTGAGTGCTGCTCCAGGCTGGGCTGCCTGGGGACTGAAAAGGTGTCATCTCAAGGCAGGAGGGTCCGAATGGGCCCCAGTCTACACACGGGCCTGGCAGCCCCCTTTGTGGTCACCCCTCAGGGGCCATGTGCTCACTGGTGTTTGCAGGCCAGAACACCGGGGTCTGGGTAAGGCTTGGGTCAGGCCTGAGCAGGCGTGCGGGATGCCTGTGCCTGGGTGTGTCTGAGTGTGGAGGATGGTGAGTGTGTGTGCGTGTGGCTGTGCTCATGTGTAAGTGTGCACAGGTGCATGCATGTGCCTGTGTCCACATGTGTGCACTCACATGTGGCCTGAAGTGATGCTCATGGAGAGTGAAAAGCTCGGGCAGGCGCCCGGCACACAGGTGTGGGAGCACAGAACCCACCTGCACACAGGGAGGGACGCAGAGCCCCCGGGAGTGGCCTGGCTTCTGCTCACACGCGTGGTGGCATGGGGCTTGCGATGCTGCCTTTGGACAGCTTTGCTAGGAAGTCTGAGAGGAGCTAGAAAGCCGTGCCCTGGCCCTGCCCACTGCTGGCCGCACTGCAGGCATGCCTCACGGCTCCCGAGCTCTCTCACCTCATCTGCAATGGGGATTCTTTGCAAAGCGGGGCTGGGTATACAGTGGGTGCTCAAGAAGCACGCATTCCTGATTGTCCTCTGGGCATACAGTGGGCGCTCAATAAGCACACATTCCTGCTTGTCCTCTGGGCATACAGTGGGCACTCAATAAGCACACATTCCTGCTTGTCCTCTGGGCACACAGTGGGCGCTCAATAAGCACGCATTCCTGCTTCTCCTCTGGGTCTACAGTGGGCGCTCAATAAGTATGCATTCCTGCTCCTCTGGGGCTTGGCTGGGCGAGGCGTCTGTCCTTGGAGAGCTGGGAGCCGGGCAGCTGGGGAGCCCGTGCTGGGTTGTCAGGTCTCCAGGCCCCAGGGAGGAGAGTGGGCATTGGCGGCCAGACCTACCAGGGCCTGGAGGTGGGAAGGGGTGTCCCGTCCTGGTCCCTGGGCTGCGGCCTGACCTGGCAGCCTCCTCCAGGGCCGGGCTTGGGGAGCTTCTGGGTGCCCACATTCTCTCTCTTTTTCTTCCAATTACCTTTTCCAAGGCAGGTTTGGCCTTATTAGCATATTCAAATGCCACCATTATTATTCCAATTAGCTGTTGAGTAATTAACTCTAATTGACGAGCCCTCCCCCCACTTCCCCACATATTTTTTGGTTATTTACATCCGCTTCTAACCAGCAATTTTAGGTAATTCCGTGCCGCGCTCTCGTCTGTGTGCGCACGCACGCACTTCCTCGCACGACAGCTTCCTTCTCGCCTTTCAATTCCCTCTCCCGGCCCAGAGTCCCCGGGGGGGTGGGGGTGGGTGACGAGAGCTGGGGGACCCCCTCCCCTGAGGGTCGCTGCCCAGCCTCCAGGGGCTCAGGGTGCAGCAGAATCCCCCATTGCCCCTCTATCACCACCAGCCTTGCTCCCAGAATCCCCTTTGTCCCGAAGATGCCGCCTATCTGGGGCCCCCCGGCCCCCACCTGATGCCGCCACCGTGGAGTTGGTGGAACCCGTGCCTTCAGCCTCGAATGCAGAGCGCCGTGGCATCGTAGCTCCGGGCTTTGTCCAGACCTGCCTCCATACTGCCTCTCGGCTGTGTGTTCCCGGAAGGAGGACTCTCCCCGTCTCAGCCTCAGTTTCCCTGTCTGCGAAACAGGGCCCAACCGAACGGAGAGTTGAGGGGGAGAGTCCACAGCTCACACATGACGCTCTGTGTGTCGGGCTGGATGCCGTGACGAAGGAGTGAATGAACGGCCCAACCTTGCGGGAGGTCAGGAGACGCGGGGTTGTAAACTGACTTGCTGAGTCATACGCTCCTTGTAGCAACCTCGGCCCGGGCCTCGGGCTTCTGTGTCCTGACTTGGTTCCCTCCTGAGTGGTTGGCCGGCCTGGTGCGGAATGCAGCGGCCCCTGCCCCCTCGCAGAGGTGCCCCTGAGATGGAGGAGGAGGGGGCCATAGGGAGAGGGCCGGTCTGGGAGGGAGTCTTTGCTTAGCCGGCCTGCCTCAGTTGCTTGCCTCCATCACTGAGGTCAAGGGAGTCAGAGGGGATATGGATGCACTGGGCCTTGGGTGCACGTGCTGGTCCCAGAACCCCCCGGGCCCCTGCAGAGTGGAGCCGCAGGGACCCCAGGCCCGGCCCGTCTGGCCTCAGCAGCTCTGTAATATCTTCCCTGTGCGTCAGCTCCTTTCCCTGCCTGTGCCTCCTTGTGTCGGCCATCCCGGCCTCTCCGTTTGTATACGGGGGTCCAGCCTTCACGCGCTCGGTGCACGCAGCACCCGGATCCCCGTGGCTTGGGCCGATGGAATCTTCCGGAAGCTGAGATGGCGGCAGGCTGCACAGCCCCGCCCTTCCTCACCTCCTCCCGTCTCTGTCTCCACGCAGGGGGAGCTGCCCTGGTGACCATTTGTCCTGCGCTCCATCTGGACCCATGCTCTTCCTCTGTGTCCTGCGATGAGGAGAAGATGTCCGTGACTCCCGCGGGGAGGGACCCACCAGCCTGTCCCTCTCAGCCGCGTCAGGTCGCCGGGGGGCCCTGACCCAAAGGTAGGGGATGTGCTTGCTTGTTGGATTCTCTCAGAAGTTGGGGGGGGGGGGCAGGACCAGTTCACACCCACCTGCGAGACAGGTCTGCTGGGGTCACGGGACAGGATTCAAAGGAGACGGGGTCATATCCGGCTACACTGCAGACACAGCTGTCCCCTGGGGGTCGACTCCTGCAGGGGTGCCGTCCTTGTGATGGACAGAACGGGCAGAGGACGAAGGGGCCGCCTCGGGATGTGACAGGAGGAGCTTGTGGCGTTGGGGGCTCAGGGCCGGCCCAGCATCCTCCCTGCTGAGTCACGGTGGCCTCGTGGGTTAAAAGAGATCTCGTCTTCCACCCGTTTACGGGAATAGACACAATACCATGTGTTTGAGTGTAAAACCACCATATGTGCAGCCTGACATATGTTAATATTGACTCACGTGGTCTATTCGAAAAACAGGTTCTTATAGGGAGAGAGTTATCCACAGTCCCGAACTGACTGAGGCTGCCATCCCGATGGCACGCCACACGTCCCGGTGACCCTGCTGCTGCGGGTTCCGCCTCCAGCTGGGAGGTAGCTGGACACGCTCTTTTCTGTTAGCCCTTCCGGAAATCGTGGATATGCCCTCTTTTGTCCGCTGTGGCCCGGATTTCTCCAGGCTGTAGGCACGTCACGCGGTTCTGGGACTCCGACCCGGCCGGTTTTGCACGTGGCTGGAACGGGGCGCTGTTCCCCGGGAGTCTCCTCGTGGGGTAGAGCGGGGTTGTAACATCTCCCTTGACCGTCAGGAGGTGCCAGTGTAAGTGGCGGGGTCCATGGAAGAGTCTGGATTCTGGGCCTCGGTTTGCACAGGGGGTTGCTGAGCGGCTGTGTTCAGGCGTTGAAGGGCTGTGTAGACTGAGTTCGTGTACAGGGAGCGTGGTAATGCTGCCGGTTCTAACAGGCTGTGAGAGGGAAGCGTTTGGGAAAAGGCTCTCTCCTCCATCACTGGGTGGTGGTGGGGGAACAGAGATCTTTCTGGAAGCCCCAGAGGCACGCCCTTTGGAGGTGGTCAGAGGGCTCCCCCAGAGTCCGGGGGGCGGGGCGCGGGCTGGGAGGTGGGTCGGAGAGCTGAGCAGGCACCAGGTCATGGGGCGGGTAAGCCGCCTGGTCACTGCTCCCTGACTTGTCCGTCAGACGTCCACCGAGTGCCTGCCTTTTGCCAGATCCTGGGTGCGGTGGTGCCAGAGACCCCGTCCCTCGAGGGGCTCCGAGTCCAGAAAGACGGAGGGTGTGAGGACGCATTGTTGCTTCTGTGCCACGGCCCCCCTCCCTTCAGCGCCCATCATCAAGGACATCTGGGGGAATTCCCCATGACAATGACCAGCACCTGGCCCTCTCTGGGCCTCAGTTTCCCTGTCTGAAACATGAGGGTGCCCCCGAGGACTTTCTCAATGGATATCCCCTGAGCAGAGGGGGACAGACCCCACTCTGCTGAATTTTGGGTGTAGAGCGCCGGGTAGGGCATTTACCACCTGACCTCCCTGTTTTTTTTTTTTCTGTAAAATGGACATCAGAGCCTCTCCCATAGGTGAGCATTCAGTGGGATGTGTGAATTGCCTGGCATACAGCAGGCGCTCAAGAAGCCCTGGTGGGTGTCACCCCCTCCTAAGCGTGAAGCAGGTGCCTGGCAGTGACTGGTACATCACGTTGGATAAACGTCATGTCTTTTCTTCCTTCCCAGCCCATATCAGCCTCCCGCTCCCCTGAGTTGGTCCGGGGTGGCCGCAGCCTGGCGGGACCCCCCTCGGCCCCCCAGCCCTCACGAGGCCGGGACATCTCCGTCTTCTGTCTCACTCACCCCGGCCACGTGTTCCGCTCCGTCAGCCTCCTGAGCCTGGCAGGTGGCAGACACTGAATGAACGTTTGTTGAATGAATGGATGGGATGTTTCCCAGCCCGGCCCACCTTCGAAGGCAGGTGGCAAAACAGATGGCCCGTGGCTCCTGCGGGGCCTGGCGGAGCAGCGCGTGCGTCTCACTGGGTCTTCTTCAGGAAGCTGGGGGTTGGGCGTCTGGTTTCCAAGGTCCCTTCTGGATAGAACGTCTCGTCATTCAGCGAGTCGAATTTCCCAATTCTGTTCCTGCCTCCCCCCCGACTCCTCCGTTTCCGGGTCCTGAGGCCTTGTGCCTGGAAGTTGCCTTTACGGAGGCAATGACTCAGTGTCCCGAAGGAGCCTTCTGTGCGTTCCGATGACCTCAGGTGACCTGCTGGACACGGCCCAACCCCAGGCTGGCGTGGGTTCAGCACTGTGGACAGAGCCACAGAGGCCAGCCCGGGGCTGTGGGCGCCGTGGGAGGCCTGTTGGCGGGAGGGGGGTCCGGGAGTGGGTGGAACTAGTGCCCGGGCCCCTCTGTAAGACCCCTGCCCTCCCCACGCCTCAGTTTCCTTCTCAGAGAAGTCAGGGTTGTGCTTTCCCCAGCAGAGGTCCCCGTGACTTGCCCCAGACCACCCCACCCCTCGGCCAGCACGCCCTCGTCCCCGCCTCTCCGAGGAGCTGGGTTATTTATCTGCCGGATGGTGACAGGCGGCCGCGGCTGGAGCTGGAGCTGCCGAGCAAACAGCCCGGGCTAATTAGCAAAAGGTCACGGCAGCTCCTGGAGCCCCTGCGTTTGAAGTCGGCCTCACACAGGCGGGTGGGCGCGAAGGCACCGCGACTTTGAGTTAGTGGGCCTGTTTACCGGGACGGCTTCAAACTCCTGCGCACCGCTCACCGCCTGATTGCCAGCCCACGAGTCTGAGGCTTCACTTTCCGGAGATTTCGGGCGCCAGGGGTCCAGCCGCTCGCCCACCCCCTGCCCCAGGCCCAACAAGGATGGAGACGCAGCCCCCGGTGTGCATGGGAGAGCCGGCCTTCACCGCCACCGGCCTCCCTTCTCATGCCCGGGGGCAGGCCGGCCCGAGCCCCAGAAGAGCGGGCTGGGCAGTAGCCGCCCACGTGCCCCCACATTTCTCTGCCTGTTTTTACTGTTTTTCTCTAAGTAAATTTACTTAAAAAAAAAAAAGACTTAAATACATTTATTTAAAAGGGAAGTTTTATAGCACCGCTACAAATGGAAAACAAGCCTCCTTTGCCATAAATAGAACTCATAATCATAAAAATAAATTCGGTGGAAACAAAACAACGTTATTAAATTCTAGTTGGACGCTGTAGCCCAAGGGAGCCTCGGAGCCCAGGCCTGCTATCGCTTGATTAAAAAGGAGAACAGCGAGTGTACTGAGGGGTTCAAGACCTCCCGGCCCCCATCAGAGACTTTCTTTTTGATGTAATCAGGAGCACTGAAATGAATTAAATTGAGAGTAACTTTCTAATAAAATTATTCAGCATTATTTTATGCTGCATCAGTTAGGGATTCAATCTGGCTGCGTAAGACAGAAACCTGACCGTGATGTGGTTGAATTCACGGCTCACTTGGGGATTCATTTTTCCCTTGTAAAGACAGGGGCCGTGGGGGTGGTGCACAGTCCAGGGAGGTTGTCAGCGATTCAGATTCCGTTACCTTCCTCCCGTACTATTCTTAGCATTTGTCCTCACGGCCTCAAGATGGCTGCTGCACCTCCAGCCATTGTCCCTGCATCTCAGGAAGGTAAAGCGAGGGGTGGAAGGGAAAGGAGCTTAAGTCTGTTCCTTGTTGTCAGGAAGATGACAGTGAGCTCCTGAGCCTGTTCTCATGCCCACTGTGGTCCATGCCTGCCTCGTGATTGGTTCTTACTAAGTAGTTTATTTCTTTGTCACCTGTTTACTAATTTCCACCCAGTAGAACCCCGCCCTCATGGTGGTCATGAGGTCACGTGCTGGTTTTTGTGAGATGAGTCACGGCCTGATCCCAGGGGGTCCCCAGGGGCCTCCTTCCCTTAGCCTGGGTCCTCCCCCCTGCCCCCTCCACCCCACACCTGGCTCCTGCTGTCCACAGTGGCTGGCTCAAGGGTGGCCCCTGTCTCGCTCCCCGTAGATCCAGGCTGCCCTCGTGCCCCTCGGTGTGTCCAGGCTCAAGTACCCGGTCAGCCTGTATGGAGCTGCCCACCTCCGGGTGCCTGGATGGGGGGCAGCCCCTGCTTCCCCCACCACCCTGGGGCCCCGGGGCCCCGTCCTCCCCCTTTGGCGTCCCCCACAGCCCATCCTGGGCTTCTCTGTCCCTCCAGCCGGTGGGCGGGCCAGGCTGCCGGGGCCACGGTCCTGCTCCTGAATCTTCATCTGTCTTTTCATTTCCTTGTGGGCCGTGCGTCCCGTGGGCCAGGACTCAGTGGGAGGAGGAGCAGGGTCTTGGGGTCCCTCCACGTCTGTCCCCTCTCCGGCTGGGCAGGCCCTGGGGACCTCTCTTCCCTCAGGCCGGGGCTCCTGGGTCCAGCCTCCTGCCCCACTGCGCCCGCCCCTGCCACCAGCTTTACCTTTCAGCCTACGCTCCTTCTCGCCTCCTCCCCTCATAGATTTTCTCCCTGCCTCTGACCCCTGGCCTCTGACCCCCGCCTTAGCACCAGGGCAGGGGGCCCACTACAGGCCCCATGTTTACATATGGTTCTGTCGCTGACCAGCTGTGCAGTCAGGGGGACGTCACTTAACCTCTCTGTGTCCTTCGTACGATGGGGGTGACGGCAGCTGCTTGTGGGGTCTTTGATTAAATGAATGAGAGGGATCGAGAGGGTACTCACCCCGCCCCGTGCCTTCTCCCCTCCTCCCTGCCCTCTCCCAGCTCCTGCTTCGTGGCTGTCCACGTCCTGCATTAGCAGCTCTGTGCGTACGTGTCCACACGGCCCCTCGGGGCCCCGTGCGTGGTGTTGCCCTGCCCACCTCTCCCCCCTGCACGCTCAGCCCCACTGACTCATGGCCAAGGCTGCAGCCTCGCTCCCCAGCCCCACCCGGTGACCGTGAATCCAGCAGGTGACGTGGGTCGGGGTGGGGGGGGGCGTGCGGGGCAGCGGGGCCTGGGCCGGGGCCGGTGGACGTGGACGGGGGCCCGGGCAGCGAGGGCAGGAGGGGGCG